GTCCCTACATCTGAGCCAGGAGTCCTGGGTTCAAGTCCTACCTGCTCCAGAAGTGCGTAATAGCATCTCTGAACAGGATGATTAGAAAATAGACAGACTAAACAATGGAGAGAGATAGTAGGAACTGCTGATGCTGGAGAATCTGAGATAACAAGGTGTAGAGCTGAATAAACACAGCAGGTCAAGCAGCATCAGAGAAGCAGGAAAGTTGACGTTTCGGGAAGAAGGGTCCAGACCCAAAACGTCAGCTTTCCTGTTCCTCTGATGCTGCTTGGCCACCTGTGTTCATCCAGCTCTACATCTTGTTATCTCAGACTAAACAATGTTATTTTGTTTTGTAAATCATTGTGATATATTAAAACCCATGTATTCTTACCAGCAGTATGTCCTTTCTTTTTTAGGAATGCTACATTTTGGTCACCTAAATGGCTCAATAACTTTCCAGTTCTCACACTGTGACAGTGCTTTTGCTGAGGAGGTAGCTTAGTCATTCCTCAATTATCAAGCAACACACCAAAAGAAATCCAGGTCAAGTACTCCTTCAAACACACGTTGTTTTAGTAATCATAACCTTTGATGTTACAATAAAAGCTGTTTTAAAAAGGCCAATCATTCGATCTCAAGGATTTAATACTGAGTATGAAAAAACAGACACCTTGAATGCAGCCAAAATTATTTCAAACAAGTTCCCTTTCAATCATTCAATTTATTAGTTAAGATTGTAGATTTTTTTTTGCATAAAACCCACCGTTTGATTGCATTGAAAGTAGTATTTTACTCCTGCCAGTTTGACACTACTTCCATATCTCTCCAAGACAATCCTAGATGTTTTCTGCCCATTCTTAAAATTAACATGAATTATTGAATCAAGTGTTGATGCGAGATTTTGCAAGTACTTTGCTTTGGTGCAGAATGGGCTGCATTTTCCTGCCTTACTTCTCTGGTCCAATTCCCTCTACAGAACATCATTTAGCACATCTGTACTTTCTTTATAGACCCTGTAGCTTGCCTTATTAACTCTTACCACTTTCCCTTCGGCTCTCTCTGCACTGAGCACACTCCCTTGTATCACCACTGACTTTCCAAGCCTTGGGTATGTTTTATTAGTTGGTTTATCTCCACTTTGTAAGAAGTGAATAAGAATAAAGCCAATAAAGTGGATGCAAGAAAATATTGCACAAAAGAAAAGCAACACATATACTGAGAAATGCAAAAAGAAATTCAATACTGTAGTGGATTAGGAGATCTTTGTGTGCGATGGAGAGAAAGATGTAGGGTTCAGAAAACAATAAATGATGTGTATCTGCACATTTTGTCTTCTTCCCCCAGATTCCATGGAAATCTTCAAATTACTATCCAGTTATTAAGTTATGCAGAAGCAATACATTTCACACTAAATAGCCAGCACTTTTGGAGCAGGATACAACGCGGCACATCGAGATAATGACATTTATCAGAATATTCCCTACTCATCTGATTGTTTTGCACAATATAGTCATATAATATTCATATAAAGTTCCAAGCTATAGAGTTCAATATTGACAATGAATCCTACTTCCTCTAGTCCAAAGTATTCCTGTCATTAAGTACTACTGTTTCCTGATACTTATCCGACTTTGCAACCATTTTGCTACTGTTTTATCCCTTGAGCAACTCTGCTCACAAGTCAATCATGTGGCATTTTATCAATTGACTTTTGGAAGTCAATGTACACCATCAACAATGTTACACTCATCAACCTTCTCTATTAAATCAGCACAGTTTGCTTGAGTTTATGGTTAAGTTAACAAAAGTGGGTTGATGAGTAATATTATAACAATTCCATGCTATTTTGTTTAATTAACCCACAGTTGTCTAGGCACCTATTAATTTTGCCCTGCACTGTTGTTTCAAGAAGCTTGGCAGGCCACCTGAAGTTAAAAGATCTGACCCACAGTTGCTCTCCTTATCTTTATATCTTTAACTTGAACAATGGTGTAATGTTTACAATCTTCAATCCTCTGGCAATATCCTCGAGTCTAAGAAAAACTGGAAAATTGTGGCCAGTACCTCCGCAATCTCCATTATTTTTCACTCTCTTAGTTCCAAAGAAGTCATATTGGACCCAAAACATTAACTCTGTTTATCTCTCTATGGGGAATCTGCTAGACCTGATATTTTTTAAGATTTATATTCCACTCTCTCTTCCTATAAAATCCTTGGATGCATCTCATCCGGTCATAGTGTCTTATCACCTGCAAGTACAGACAATCCAACACATTTCTCTTGAACACTTGAATTGTCAGAACTAGCTCTTCTTTCATCATTATCTGTGCAATATCTTCTTTTTTGGTAAAGATTGATGCAAAGTATCAATTAAATACATCAATCATGCCACTTGTTTCCAGGCTTAAATTACTTGGTTTCTATTCATCCTACACCATCTCTTCACCACCTTTTTACTATTTATATGCCTATAGAAGACTTTTTTTTACATTAGCTGCCAGTTTCTTTTCATTCTCTCTCTTTGTTTGTGTTATTTACTTTTCAATACCCCTTTGCATTTGCTATTTTCAACCTGCTTCTTAGGTGCATTACCCATAGACACCTTTTCTTCTTTCTCTTGATCTCCTTGTCTTTGCTTTTTCAAGGAGCTTGAGATTTGTTTGCCCTATCTTTGTCCTTTGTGGAAATATACCTCGACTACACCCAAACTCTCCTTTATAGGTAGCTCATTGGTCAGTTACAGTCTTGCCTGCAAATTTTTAATTCCAATTCAACTGGGTCACATCCATTCTTACTCCATTGAGGTCAAATTTCTTCATCTGATTGTTCCTTGTTCTTTTCCATAACTAACTTAAACCTTATAGTATGAAATCAGAAAATGGAGAAGCTCAGCAGTTCTGGTAGAATCCATGGGAAGTGAATAACAGTTAATGTTATGAGTCTGAGGTGACTCTTCTTCAGAACAAGACCAAAGAAGAATTATACCAAACTCAAAATGTTAACTCTGTTTCTCTCCCAACTGATGTTTCCAGAATTGCTGAGTTTCACCAGCTTTTTCTGATTTTCTTTTTCCAGCATCCACAGTATTTTGCTTTGGTTAAACCTTCTGATACAATTCGCACTGTCTCTTCATGCTCCCCTACTGACAGTTGATCTACTTGGTCTACTTCATTTCCAAAGAGCAGGTCCAGTGTTGCGTCCTTTCATGTTGAACTGGTGACTTACTACTGTGGAAAATTCTCCTCAACACACTCTAGAAATTCTTGCCTCTCTCTGCCTTTTGCAATACTACCATCCCAGTCTATATCCAGATAATGCAAGTCCCTCATTATCACTAGCCCAGATCATTCACACCTCTTTAATTTCCTTGCAAATTTGTTCCCCAACATCTTTCTACTCTTTGAAAACCCTGGTGAGGTCTCAATGTCATCAAAAACATCCAAAGATACTATCACCGTGCCACTGTTATTTCTTCAAGGGGACCCGGCTAACCTGGTCAGAGATGTTATTACACACCTGGGGAGCAGATGGGACTTGAACCTACTACCTCTCCTGACTCAGAAGTAGAGACGTTACCACTATGCTGCAAGAGCTCTTCACTGCACCTTTCTATGGTGGCCATGTAGACTATATGGAGCAATATAATTGAACCCTTTCCATTCCTTAGCTTTAGCCAAACAACTGGTTTAACTCTTCTCAGGTAGATCACAGCACAAAACTTGCAGGAAATGATATTGTGGGATGTTTTAAATGACTCACTTTTTTTTTCTCTGCCATTTCTGCACCACAACAACAGTGTATTCTGTCGACACATTGGAAGTTTCCAATTCACTGGCTCAGAAGCTGCTGTGATAAAAACCGCGTTATCAGTGCATTAGACATGAGTGGAGAGGAACAACACTGGGTGAGTTGTGAGCCCTTCACGCTGCTCCATCCTTGGCCCAGCAAAGAAAACAATGGAAGTGCGGGGAAATTGCCGGACGATGAGACTCGCCAGAGAGACAGTCAGGGCTGTGAATATGGAACGAGTGTCATTGGAGCCTCTAATGCTGACCCGCGATGCCATGCTGTAGCCTCACTCCTGCAATCAGCAAATTTGTTGAAGTTTCTTACTCTTGCTTCCAAGTCCTCGTTTTTCTCATTCTATCCAACCTTCCTGTCCTCTATATTTTAATTTGACTCCAAAAGTCTTGCCCCCCTCCCCTCCCCTTCGTCGTTTGTTGTAGTTTCCCGTTTATTTTTAAATGGGATCAGCTAATGCAATAGACTCCTGGTCCTGTCGCTCAGTGAGACAGCTCCAAGAGACTGACGCTCTCACTGCACTGCTGTCAGCTTGTAGCCCTGAACGTTGTGAAGGTAGTTTCATATAATTGGAGCCCTGGCTAAATGGATCTCACAGCAAAGATTGAAATAAACGCACATTTTTTTTCTGGAACAAGCGCTGCCACTTCAGTTCATTGTCCACCTACTTTCAGGGTGCTCATTAATTCAATGTATTTCTTAATGTTCTTAACAGCCTTTCAATACAAACAGGTTAAAAGTCCGGACTCTCGGTTCCGGCCATTCTCGGTGTGTCGATACAGAAACCCTCAATAAATCGAGTTCGCCCTTTTAAAACAAATCTGTTTAAATCGCGTCCCGCTTTTAAGAAGAAAAAGAAAATGACTGTTTCTTTGTTAAGCCTGTGAAAGTTTCTGGCACAATGATCCTCCGCATTGGGGTTAGTTCTGGTGAACCGCGCTCACAGTCTACAGTAAAAATGGACACAATCCCACCTTCCCCAATAAGAAGGGAATTATCCATTCTGGGAATCGCTGGATACACAGTGCAGGGGGCGGGGGGAGCCTGCGGGAGGCGGAAAGTTAGGACATTTGGTCAAAAAGGAGAGACTCCCCGGACTGAGCCAGCAACCCCTTTCTCAATGTTTCCCCCTCCTCCCCACCCGCCCCCCGGTGTGGGGAACCCGCCTGTCCCACCACCCGCTCCCAAAGCCCCCGGGGTGCCCGCCGCCTCACCTGCAGTCACGCTGTGCAGGAAATGCAGGAAAAATCTGTTCGAGCCGCTCACTGCCCGCAACTGCCTGAAGGGGGCTGGTTCTGGCATCTTGCAATCATTTCTGATGTCAGGCCTGAGACTGAGGTGGTGATTCCTTGCCAGTGGATAGGCACAAGCGAGGAGACTCTCCACCGGAGACTGAACACTCCCTCTCCTCCACCCCTGCCCTAACCTCTCTCTCTCTCTCTTTCTCTCGATGCATTCTCATGCAAAAGAGAGAGAGTGATTGACAGGGAGCTTGGCTTTCATTCCGAGCTCTTCACCCTCGGGATTGCTTCCCCCACCCTCAGCGATTTTCAAGCCGACCCCATCCGTGGTTTGGAAATAACTTCCCGGTCCTTCAGCCTGAATTGAGGTGGAACAGGGACCAGGAATACTGTACACAACACCAAATGATCTAGTGTTGCTGCTGGTATTGGCCAGATAACAAAAATAAAATTCCTTATTCAGGACAAACCATTCGATCTACTGCAGGAACCTTGTTCATTCAGGAACTGCAGCTGCCGGTCTATCTTGTTATTGTCGCTAGGTTTAGTCAAGAATAACATATTGGAACATAGAAACCTGGATCTTCCAATGGGGCGCCAGCAGAATGAAAATCCTCCAATATTGAACTGACAAAGGCAAAGGTGTAAGGGCGCTTAAAGGAGAATTTACCCCATTGTCAGAGCCAACATCTATCCTGACATCAAGATCACAAATAACAGATCATCCGCTTGTTATCACAACGCTGTTTCATTCATAAATGTTGGCGGAATACAAATATCAGTCTGTGCTGCCAGCACAACCAAAACAGAGCAGCAACTGGTGGAGCCCGAAACGTCAGCCTTCCTGCTCCTATGATGCTGCTTGGCCTGCTGTGTTTATCCAGCTCTACACCTTGTTATCTCAGCAACTGGTGGAGATGCAGTAGCATTTACAAAGCAAATGCAGTTTTTAAGGCGCGCTATTTCCTGCCGGGTCTGGCCTGATGAGTTTCGTTCTGTGTAATTGACGCACAATGAATAATTCAATCACAAGGATATTGTTGATCTAGCTCAGGGTTCACTTCTCCATGAAAGATCACCCACAAGCAAGCAGCTTACTGCTGCCCGTCTCAGTCGATGCTGGTCAGATCGTGAAGCTAGTCAATTTCACAGGATCCCAGAGAAAGGAGGCGCTAAATCAACTATGTGGTACTCAAATCATACAGGTCCTTGAATATTGTAGGGTTCTAGTCTCTAAGAAACAAGACTGAATCATAGGAGACTGTACGGAGAAGAGCCACAATGCTGATCTCTGGTGTCAGATTCCTGAATTACAAAGGAAGATCTTCTCAGCCCTAAAAGCAGGTGTCTGAAAGGTGATCTTATAAATGTATAAACTCTCGTTAAGAGAAGGGACTAAGTGAACTTCTGCAGATGCTGGAAATCTGAAGTAAAAACACAAAGTGCTGGAGAAACTGAAAACACAGCATCTGTGAAGAGATTAACAGAATTAACGTTTCCAATCCAGAGACTCTTCTTCAGAACTGATGTTCCAGATTTCCAAAGTAAGGTTCATATTGTCTCAAAATATTGGGCAGAATCTTATTGGAGTCCGACCAATGTGGGCTATGGCAAGAAATGAGGCAGAATTTCATGAGAAGTCCAGTGAAGTCCATCTGGCTATCAGGAACCACTCTCACTGCATTTTTATTTAAAGTCTCAAATGTCAAGCTGAGATTCCTGCTAGGCAGCAGTTAGTTGCCTTTTCGGGAGAGTATTGCTCACTCATGATCTTATTAGTGGCAGACCTCACTTCTTTAATATGCAGCTTTCCATTGTACTACCCTGTGGCAGCAAACTGGAAACAGGCAATGGTTGACAATTGTAACTCCAGCTCAATGCTCGCTTCAAAGGCCCTCCACTTCAAAGACACCAGGCACCAACATCTCGGTGATGTCCATGGGCACTAGCTAAGTGCACCTCACATTCACGGACATTGCCATCTGACACATGCCAGTCTCCTTGATCCATCATGGCACATCTCTGATCCACTTAATAGTAGATCTCTGCACTTCAATGCTGCCGCTTGAAGGGCACCAGCAACTATCGTTGTAATGCTGCAGCAAGGACACTGTGTCCGCACATTTCCAGTTCATTGGGGTAGACTGGGTAGTGAGGTGAGTTTTGGTAAAATGCAGCAAGTAGACTCACAAGGCTTGAATCTCTCCATAGATGCTGCCAGTCTTAAGAGTTTCTCCAGCACTTTCTGTTTTTTCCTAAGAAACTGAACGGCAGGACTCCACAAGACAAGACAGATTAAAATGAATACAAGGTAAATTTAGATCCAATAGCATGAAATTCCACCTCACATAAAGCATGGCCAACATGTGGAATAAACTTTTGGATAGAACACTGCAGGCAAAAGTCCTTGGAATTATTTAAGAAATAATGTTACAATGGGGTGGATGGTGTTAAGATCCCTCAGACCAGTCAATTAAAACAGACTGGAGACTGGAAGAACACAGCAAGCCAGGCAGCATCTGGAGGAAAGGAAAAGTCGATGTTTCAGGTATTACCCTTCTTCAGGACTTCTTCTTCTGCTGCCTGGCATGCTGTGTTCTTCCAGCCTCCTGTTTGTCCACTTTGGATTCCAGTATCTGCAGTTTTTTGTCTCTGATTAAAACAAATTAACTGGCCTTTATTTTGTGGACTTTGTAAACCAATAGCAATTGATTACCAAAACATGAACATAAATTGCTGGAGAAACTCAGCAGATCTGGCAGCCTCTTTGGAGAGAGAAACAGAGTTAACATTTTAAGTTCTGTGACCCTTCTACAGAACTTCCTCAGAAGGGTCATTTGACTTGAACTGTTAACTGTTTCTCTCCACAGATGTTGTCACACCTACAGATATACTTTAGTGATTTCTGTTGTTTCAGATTCCCAGCAGCTGTAGTTCTATGTTTTATTAGAAGAATTGATTACTGACTACCTCAAAGTGTAAGTGCTAAGAGATTATAGGAGGAAGTTACAATGCTGGTATTGCATTAATCCCTGCACAGAAAGAAAGAGTTGTAATTAATTAGCAGCATATCAAATCTCTCAGGAACTTCCCCTAGTCTGTCCTGCACAATCAACCTGAAGTGTTGTCTATTGTATAGGTTACCATTTTTATGCAAGACCAGATCCCACTGGCTCTCAAACAACAAAATGAACTGTCATTATGCTTTCAATATAATTGGTTTAACAAGAGTACTGGACGGGCTACCAAGGACTTTCTATATTCTGCAACTAATTCTATAACATTCACCTCAATACTTAAGGAAATCCTCTGAAGAATATCAGCATATCACTGGCGGATTAGTCTAGATGATCAAGTGCTAGAAAGAGCTTGAACCCACAATTTCTTTGCTTTATTTTTTCAAAGAATGTGGGCATGATTGGCAATTCCAACATTTGCTGCGGGTCCCCAATTTCCTTTGTGTGACTTGCCTGGCCATTCAGAGGGCAGTCAAGCACATTGCTGTGGATTTGGAGTCACACATAGGCCAGACCAGGTGAGAATGGCAGATTTCTGCCCTGGAAGGACATTTGTGAACTGGATAGCTTTTACAACAATGATGGTGGTTCCGTGGTTACTAGTATAGAGACTTGGTCTTAATTCCAGATTTTATTAATTCAATTTAAATTTCATGGTCTGTCATGGGGGGATTTAAACCCATGTTCCCTGGGTGTGAGCCTGAGCCTCTGGGTTACTGGTTCAGTGGTGTTACCATACAGTACTCTATATCTAACACTATGCTAACGCATGATTTCATTATATAGAAAAGGTTCAGAGGTGTTATAACATTTAGAACAGTGCATTCATCTTGAAAGGGACAAAATTAAACTTCAGGGGAGAAATGGTTTGATTTCATTTGTTTTTTTTATCTTTGTCACATGAACCGAAGTATAGTGAAAAGTTTTGTTTAATATGCAGTACAGCAGATCATAACATACAAAGACAAAAAAAAAATCATAGGGTGATTGAACAAAACAAGGAATACAAAGTTACAGCTGCAAAAAAGGTACACAAAAGCAAGATCAACGTTAGATTTGAAATTTGAGACGTCCCCATTCAGAAGTCTAATAATAGCGGGGAAGAAGCTGTTCTTGAAACTGTTGGAATGTGTGTTTAAACTTTTGCCTGATGGAAGAGGTTGGAAGAGATTATGACTGGGGTCTTTGCACCACGTCTCCAAGCACTCTACCTCATTTATATATTTTGTCTAGTCATTGTCTGATATCCTACCTACATCAGTGGTGTCATCAGCAAAATTGTGGATGGAGTTCGGCCAAAATTTAGCCACACAGTCATGAGTGTACAGTAGGGAGTGGAGTACACAACCTTGTGGTGTGCCAGTGTTGAGGATTGTTGTGGAGGAGGTATGGTTGTCTATCTTCACTGATTGCAGTCCATGGGTCAGTAAGTCAAGCATCCAGTCACAGAGGGCAGTGCAGAGGCCTAAGTCTCGGAGTTTGGAGAATGGTTTGGTGGCGATTATAGTGTTGACGGCAGAGCTGAAGTCAATAAGTAGGAACTTGACGTAGGTATCCTTATTATCCAGATGTTCTAGGGGTGAGTGTAGGACTAGGAAAATAGTGTCTGCTGTGGACCTATTGTGCCAGTAGGTGAATTGCAAGCGATTGAGGCAGACTGGGAGGCTAGAGTTGATGTGAGCCATGACTGATCTCTCAAAGCACTTCATAATTATGGAGGTCAGAACCACCAGGAGGTAGTCAATGAGGCAAGTTGCTTGTGTTTTCTTTGGTACTAGGATGATGGTGGTCTTCTTGAAACAGGTGGGGACTTCAGATTGTAGTAAGCAGAGATTAAAGATGTCAGAGAATACTCCCACCAGCTGGTCTGCACAGGATCTGAGTGAACTGCCAGGAACTCCATTTGGGCCAGTCACTTTCTGTGGGTTCACTGCCAAGAAGGCCAATCCAACATCTGTAGCGGTGACAGAGGGAACAAACGCATCTGGGACTGTTGGGGCAGGTAACACCATTCCACTGGCATTCTGCTCGAACTGAGCATAAAAGGCATTGAGCGTATCAGGGAGGAATGTATTTTTGTGGTGGTATCA